CTTTTCTTTTTGCATACACGGCGAATGAGAACCCAACGACCCAAATTTGAGTTTAGTTATCTCAGAAATAAGATATCGGTGCCGGTGGTTAGCGTGATTACCTCTCACCCCAGCAGGCCTGGGTCCAATCTCAGTCGGCTCTACCGGCATGTTCTAAAGCATAACATCTCTGATCACGCCTTCCTTCGGGAAGTAAAGCCGTTGGTCCCCGGCTGAGTTGATGGGTCGATTGGTAGGGTCCAGGTGTGGGAGCTGCCTCCCTGGCGTCGGTAGCATTGGAGATCAGTACGGAAAACAAATCTCGCGACACTTTTCAATAGGTCCTATCTATATTGATCGATTCTCTTCATCTACACTCTCTTTCGTAAATAACTCGGCTTCACAAATGTTTCCTGCCGTCTTCGTCGAATTATATGCTAGATTGTTGCTTCTTCCATCGAAAATATCCGGCCGTGGCGATTCAAAGTTGATCAAGGTTGATCAAAATAATTTGTACCCCTGCTTCCAGTTTGATTACATGAGCATTTTGTGAGGTCGTTGGTTCTGAATATGGACAAACAGGCAGATGAATTCTTTTCCTACTCTTTACTGTCATAAGCTTGATGGCCCTGAAAAGAGCCGTTTTGTTGCCAAAGTTGGTGATGATTTAACCTCCGAAACCAAACAGAGTGCTTCTCTGTCACTTCAAAACGTAGATGACATCCATTGTGTTTAGTGTAGGTGACAGCATAACGGATCTCATTTTTCAGGAGCATCTTCTGCACACCTCGTAAATCAGACCGGAGATACGCCAGACAACGCCACGGCAAGCCAGACGACGGTTGGTGGTTATCTCGAAGAATTTACGTTTGGTGCTGAATATGGCGATGAGTGTGCAAAATATTACGCAATTCCATCCTCCCTATTCGCACGCGCCCGAGGATCGGAGGCAAATGCCACTTCGACTTGTTTCGTCTACTTACTACTCTCTGACGACTGTGCTGGGGAAGCAGCATATGCATGTAGGTAATTGGTGCATTTGTTAGTTGATTCGACGCTTTTGGACAATGCTGGACATTTACCAGTTTTTAATAATATCTTGTTGAAAACCAACATTCTGAAGCATTGTTATCGATGCGTAGCCATATTTCTGATCGATTGGTGATAAAATTATTGAAATTGGACCAGGGGCAGCTGAGTTATTAACGTTCAAAATCTTTCTTAATTTGTTAAATGTTCCATTTTCGGTTTTCACAAAGTGTACCCCTATATAGAAATCAAAGACGTAGTCCTACGTCAAAAAATACAGTATACTGTAAAAAAAAATCTTAGTGTGTACTACCCGACCAACCATTTCGTTAAATTTCTTTATTTTTCGATACAGATCTTCAAAGACATTCATATGAAAAATCGATAGCGATCTTCACCATTTAATGAATAAATGTAAAGATACTAAAAGCCTGATCGTGAATCATTTATAAACATCTTTATCAAAATGTTTCTAATAATCGATACCTATGTAAAAATATCGATTCGTGTTGCCAGATCAAAATATCGATTTCTCTTGTCAAATCAAAATAACAATACACGGTACTGATATTTTAGGGATTTTTTTTTATCTGTATAATTGCAAGGTTTCGATCCCGTGCCATCTAGGGTGTACTGATTTCTTTGTTGGTAGCTAATCCTCGGGTCTACAGCTGCTGTTGATGAGCTTCTTAACGACTGGCAATCACACTCTAGTATATGGTGTTTTGATATTTATGTACATCTTTCAAGCATGAATTCTAAATTTATTTGTCATATCCATAACCAAAGTATCAAGTTCCTTCATTCGGTTCAAAATGTCGAGAATTCTACCACGCTTGCTATCGCTGATTCATAAGAAATGGCCGACAGCGTATCGACGTAAACTTAAAGAACTATAATGGCAAACATTTGTATCATCGTGGCCATCGATTAGTCTTCCCATTAATTTTCCGGCAGATCATGCTTCTTTCGATGAAGAACCAAATTTGTCGATAAGTAATATAAACATTGCCATCTGTCATCTAGTGCAAAGGTTGCAAATACTCATTTCAGCTAAAATAATGTTTTTCGGAATAATAAAACCAAAAGATGGTATGATGCCATGTTTTACTTGTAACTTACAAGAAGAGGTTACACAGTATGCATTTGAAACATAAAACCTGAAAATTTCGCTTTCTATGAGTCACAATCAGCAAATCGCTGATCGCTGAGTGAGTGAGTGAGTGAGTGAGTGAGTGAGTGAGTGAGTGAGTGAGTGAGTGAGTCAGTGTGTGAAAAATCGCTGATTGTGATTCTCATGAAGTGAAATAAACAGGTTTAATATGTCAAACACATTCTTTGCAACCTCTTCTTGTATCTTACACTGATAAATTGAACTATTCCCATTTTGCTTGAAATTTAATCAATTTGACATTAAACTCAGTTTAATCATATCGAATGATTAAAAAATAAGCATCTGATATTAATCCCAGTTTAATCATGGTTGATTAGATTGTAGATTATCTTTTTTTGAATAAATTTTAATCATTTTAGATTCTATTTTAATAATTTTTGATTGAATTTTAATCTTTTTTGATTATACATCAGTATTCAAAAAGAATTAAATTTAATACTGGAAAGATTATTTCGATTTTAATCATGCATGACTATTGCCGAAGTAATCATGGCTCGGACTCAATAAGGTGAAGCGGGAAACTGCATACTTTTTAAGCTTTTATGATTTAATTTATCTTTGAGTGTACCAATTCAAAATATGATCATAGCATCTAATTATATCATAATCAACAAAAACATTGTTTTAGCTGAAATAAGTATTTGCAACCTTGATCTAGTGTGTATCACACTCTCTTTACCCAGCGATGCAAATCGATAACAAGGAGATTATAAATGTGCATCGATGGTAATCTTTATTGTTCTTTGCCAAAGTTGGTATCAGTATTCAAATATTTTTAGATGAATATTTATAAAGAAAACTATAGTCCTTGTGACACATCGAAATTAGAAGAAATTTAGTATGGCACCTTTATAGATTACTATCATCAAAGATATTCCATTAACAAGATATCCCACAAATCAATTCCTCGAACAAGGCAATGGATACACCACCCTTATGTGATCGCAGTGCCATCTCTTGAGTGCACATTGAAACTGTTCGGAGTCTCCCGCCAACTTCACCACCAGGGCTCAATAAATGACAGGTGTCAGTATGACATATGCCAGCGTGGACGTTGATGATCAGCCGAGGGAAGAGAATGATCGATGTCATCATCATTATATTGCGATAGCAAGATTCTCACTTCGTCGTTCAATCATTACCACACGTTATACGCATCAGAAAAGCTTGAGAAAACAATAATAAATGCAGATACGTCCCTTCGAAAAAGTAATCGAGAATTGTAGATTTATGAAGCTGTTGCTCAACATAATAGAAGTTGCATAGAAGTATACATGGAAAAAACGCAACGTATCGAAATCATTGCTAAACACACGTAATAAACTATGCCGTCTTTCTTGGCCAACGCTGCACGCTATTGGCTATTCAAAAAATACGTTGGAATAATGATTACTTTTCTATTTTATAAAGAAGGTATTTCTCAATGATGGCGAATGAAATCGTAAACTGAAACTGCCGAAGCTGAGTGATGAAGATGAGTGATGACACCGCTTCGTGTTTTGATTTGCACTGTATCCTCCGCTCAGTGGTGTGGGTTCGTACATGTACAGATGATGGTGTGCGTGTTTTCTTCCAACGCTGCAGTTCAACATTGTATCGTCAAAGACCTATTGGCGCTGTTATCTGTCTCTATAAATTCCAAAGAGTGAAGGGAGTCTGCTATCATGCGACCGATAAAGAAATTATCTTAAATGTAAGTATCGAACAATAAAGGTTTTTAAATATATTCATTAACGGAGCCGGTGGTGTAGTGGTAGGCGTGATTATCTCTCACCCCAGCAGGCCTGGGTTCAATCCCAGTCAGCGCCGCCGGGATGTTCTGCATAACATCTCTGATCACGCCTTCCTTCGGATGGGAAGTAAAGCCGTTGGTCCCCGGTTCATGAGTTGATGGGTCGATAGGTAGGGTCCAAGTGTGGGAGCTGCCTTCCTGGCACGTCGGTAGCATTAGTGCTCAGCACGGAAAACAAGATCGACGGAAAAAACAAACCAAAGGAAAAAAAATATATATATATATTCATCGAAATCAAAGAAACTTGAAAGTAAAGAATTACCGACATTAATCTTTATTTTTGTGCAAAGAACTTTGAAGAAGTTTCACGAATGGTTGGTCGGGATGGTAGTAGTGTTGCGACGAGGGACACGCAATACAAAGAAGTTAAAATACAATCAAAAATACTTAAAATAATTAATGCGTTTTGAAGTATTATCTATCCGTAATTAATGTAATTAGAAATATTTAAAATGTAATTATTGTACTTTAATTACGAAATTTCGACTGTAATTAATGGAGTTAAAAAGTAGTTAATGTTCTACATTGTGTAATTAATGTGATTAAAGCAGTAGTTAATGGAATTAATTTAATTACAGAAATTGCCTGCGTTGGAGTTAAAGGTTATTGCGTGCCCCTAGTGTTGCGATGTGGTACACTGAAAAATTGCAATAGCAGGTTCGTCGCCAAAGTTTTCGAGCCGCTCGGTCTGTCCCTTCGTTTGTGATTTCATTCTTATGGTGGCCATCTTGTCCTGTCTAGAGATACTGAATTGGGTAAAGAAGCGACATCTTATCCATTTGACAGATCTTCTGCTCGATTGGAATTACTTTTCCTATGACTTTGAAAGATAATCAATTGTTCCAATTTTGACATGTCGTCTCTTTATAAATTCAGCCTCTTTAGTCCCGTCTACCCCTACCAGGTATAATATGAGTAAAAACGAAAACGACATTAGATTGAAAAATTATTTATTTTGTAGCTTAGTTATTGATGATGAAGCAATATAAAATTGTGATGATTAATAATTATATTTTTTTTCTACAGTCTTACAGCGGCTAATCACTTATGTTATATAAGATCTATACATATGTGGATAACGGAGAGCCAGAATAGGTTACCCTGGAAAGAAGAATTTGTAAAGTTGAGTCCCCAAACCCTGTCGGTGCTGGTTTTGATTGGATTTATCCTTTTCATTTTCCTCAAGGCCTACGCAATTGGTATTGTTTGGCGTTGCTATAAATTTTTAACTTTTAGGCAGCATAATATACGTTCCATGCTACCGTACATCATACCAGATATTCCAGATACTCCGGAATCGACTAATATGCGACAGGTATATTATTTTCTTATGTTATTAATAAATTACGTCACGCAAAATTTCAGAGGTTGGAATAAAACAATGACGTAATTTATGGATGCCTATTAATAAAGTACACGCTAAGAACATATTACCTTAATGTAAGTAGAATTTTATACCCCGTACAGACTATGGCTGATATCATGTAATATAGGCTGTCTTGCAATGAGCTCTCATTCATCTAGTTTTCACTGGAAATCCTATGTATTTAGTTTTCACTGGAAATCCTATGTATTTAGTTTTCACTGGAAATCCTATGTATGAATGCTCATTGCAAGACAGCCTGTATTACATACACTAATAAAATTCCACACATTTTGATTGATGAATTTCCATGGGAAATTCCATATGATTTTCATGTGATCACACATAAACAGAATCCACCCAGAAGCACACATGAAATTTATGAGTCAAATTAATAGTATATGTGGTTACACATGGCTTTTATATGTACACATATTAAGTATGTGTCCGACACATGGATATCATTTGTTGATCACATTGCATAAATTTATGTGTGGGACACACAAAAACGATCTTTGAAATTTTATCAGTGATATGTATGAGTGCTCATTGCAAGACAGCCTATATTACATGATATAAGAATAGAGCTAATAAACTATAGAGGAAGAATAGCGCTGCCGTTGCTGTCGAAAAATCTTTTCCTTACATCTAATAGGGACACAACTGTCAAAGCGAGAAAAAAAACTATGCAGTTTGACAGGTCTGTACTCGTTCAACATCGAAACAAAGGGAACACCAGCGCTATTCTTCCTCTATAGTATATTAGCTCTATTGATATAAGCCATAAGGCCTAAACGCAATGTGGACGGAAGCGGAACGGAAACGGAAAGTTTGACAGTTGTCACAAATAACATCAAGATGCCTAACCGAAGTCTAACTAGTTTTCAATCCGACAAGTAGGCGTACTCAGATCAGGCTTTTCCGCTGCCGCTGCCGTTCCGCTTCCGCTGTCATTGCGTTTGGGCATGTACTCTGTACGGGGTATTAGCCAGGGGTTTGACATATAGCTGAATACTCGCTGAATACACGTACTCAACATCAAAACAACAAAACATATCATGGTATATCATGACAACGTTGCAGATTTTCGGTACGCAGCAAACTTAAGTGATATGACAGCCATATCCATCTCCTGGTATTAGCAAAGAAGAATACTAAGATGAAACAGTCGGAAGAAAAATTATCTATTTTAGTGTCCTCTTCACGGTCCCTTTCATCCAATGAATATGAAAGGTAATTTTGTGGATTTGCTGCACCCTCGGTACACTCAAAAAATTTATCACATATATCACATAAATCCATACACGAAACGAAAACCAATTGACAAATCCAAGTTTCAATCGGTCACCGTGGCGCTGCAATCGCAGCGGTGATAAGTCCAAAATAATGTGTCAAACTGAATACATTTTTGAAATTTGAACCAAAAAACTATTATTTTGTATTTATTCTAGCGAGTTTCTGTGGGAGTCAAAACATGATCCGAGCAAAAAAGTAGCACTCGTAATAATGGTATATAATTCTGAATTTTATCGTGCTTTGTTTCGAAAATATCTTCCAAATAAACAAACATCATCCAGATCACCCGATTCGTCCACCGACTAAATCTATTGCCACTTAAAAATTAATTTCAGTCGGTGTACTAATCAGCAGATTAAATCGTTTTTCGTCTGGAGCTACACCGAGCAATCGGCCTATTTAATAGTTTTTCGTCGATGGATTTAGTCGGCCAACTTTGTCTGCTGTTTAATCGGCAGATGATTTCAAACCTTAACATGTTTTCTGTAATTTAACTGTCTTGAAGTAGCTTTTTATTTAGGACAATGCATTACAAAATAATTTTATGCATTTTGTACAAGGTTCATCCATGCTGACAAGAAATTTGCATGAAATTACATTGAAATTAATCAATTTTGCAAACAATCAATGAAATTGTCAAGGGCTGTCACAGACTTATCACCGTCGGTTAGTGCTTATTCCTGCCACCAGGCGCGCAGGAGTTTAAGTTGGAAATCTCAATTTTTCCACCTATGAGAGTGCAGCACATGTTTGAAACGATGGGTGATGATCATCTGGAGAAGTTAATGCTTATATCGGCTTGATACAACCGATTACAAATATTTTACTTTTCGGTTCGTTAATCGATTAATTGATTATTCGACTGAAAATCGGTCATCACTAGATGAATGTGAAACTTCATTTCTAATATAAAGGCCGGCGCACAATAGATACGTTTTCGGATTTTTTTTGACAGATAATGCATGGGTTAACTGTCAAAAAACCTGAAAACGTATCTATTGTGCGCCGGCCTTTAGGACCGTACATAAATAGTGATACAATTTCGACATTGGTAGTCGATATCAAGCTGAACATTGCATTAGTTCCTAAGTAACATTGACAGATTCTCTTCGTCGACTTTCTCTTTGTATACCCAAGGCCATCTTAAGACATTTCCAGGTATTTTCAGCACACATATCGATAAAAGCAGTTATCATCTAGCATCTAATACGACAAACAGAACAAGAAACGGTTATGTGCTCATGTTATTAACGAAAGAGAAAGTCGACGAAGAGAATCGATCAATGTTACTTAGGACCAAATGCAATGTTCATCTTGACATAATCTACACTGAAACAAATCGACATGTTCCGTTTATTCAATCCATCTTATAGCATAGAGCTTTTTGACGTTTAATCGGCGCACACTAATGCACCATTTAAATTGAAGGAGTGCGAGCAAGAGGGAAACAGATTAGTGGGAAAACAAACCATCCATTCATCCCTGTGTGCAAGATAGAGAAAGACGATTAAACGTCAAAAAGGTCTATAGCAATGTCAGCAGATTTATTCATTCTACACGCAGAAAAAAATATTTTAAACGTAATAATATTTGACGTAAATTTAATAAGAATTTCATTTTGTTTTGGCTGCAAAATGAAATCATTATTATTTCAACAATCCAGTATCTTTGTTTTTAAAAACCCATGGATTGTTAAATCAAAAAGAAAATCTTTTCGAATTTACAAGAGCCTTTATGGTTTTGACGTAAGCTGTCAAATTTTACAGCTGGGTCAACAAAAAAATATGTTTGTTTTTAAAAGAGATTTCTTGTTGATTCAATCATATTTATTTTATTAAGCCTAAAAATATACGCAGTAGAAATAAAATTATGTTTATTGATTCAATTTTTAATAATTTGCTATTATTTTTTATGTTTTGTTTTCTATTTGTTACCAACAGAATTACAATTTATTAAATTAAAAAAAAAAAACTTTCTGAGGCATAAAATCTCTCCGGTTTATGAGTTGATGGGTCGATAGGTAGGGTCCAGGCGTGGGAGCGGCCTTCCTGGCGTTGGGAGCAATGGTACTCAGTACTGAAAATAAGATCGACGGAAAAAATCAAGGAAAAAAAGAAAAACTGTTTATATTTTGTAACAGCAGCATACTTACCCTAATAAAAAATAACCATAAACGAACGATAACCCAAATCATTGAACTATTCCATAAATGGTTTGGATGATACCCAGAACACGTCGTTAAGCAAATTAACCATACAATTTTTATTAGGGTACTTACCTCTAGAGCTGAATCAAACGAGAAATTTTTTGTTATTGTTTATATTTTTGTCCGGGTTTTCACGAGGGAATGGTTGGTAGTTATTTTTGCATTTATGGCCCGGGGAATTGACACAACAAATAAATGTTAAATTTAAATTAACTATTGTTGGCTTGATAAAAGAACATTGTTATTTTTACAATAGTTGCAGTTGAAGAGTGGCTTATGAAAACAAAAAGAATCTTATTTTGAATTTATTTGAATAAATATTATCGAAACAATAAAATGCAATATAATTTCAACCGAAATTGTTTGTGTAAATACAAATAAAGTTTTTTTTGGTTCAATGCAAACAATTTTCTGTCCGTGTATGTGATGATTGATAGATTCCATTGGATTATCACGAGGATTATCACTTAAAAACTATGACTGCGATTTGGAATGATTTCTATCGTAATTTCACATACTTAGTACTTGATAATACTTTGCTTCGAGCGTGGTTAGCGATAGATAAGATGTATTAAACATTGTTTGATATATTTTATGGTGAAAATCTGGTGATATATAATAGGTGGAAACAGACATCTAGCAACTAATGGAAAATCATATAAGTTTGCACTATGAGAAAATTTAGTAAAATATACCTGTTTTCATGATGAATATTGTTCACTAAAAGATATATCTTATAAGATAATTATGTTTATTTTATTGGAGTTGCTTTTAACGATTTTTGACGTTTGTTGGTCTGTCGCGTGTAAACAGACATGTAGAAACTATTGGACAGTCATTTAACTTTGCAGTATAGGAAAACATGTATATCTCATTGCAATAGTTCCTTTAATTTCTGAGGTTTAAAGATTGTAAACAGATCTATCCCAATCATTATATAGTCATATAGATTTGCCTTTTAAGAAATCCAACAGCAAACATTTGTTTTGGCATGGTTTTCTGTAATAAATATCGCTCCCAATAAAACACATCTAACATGATTGTTCTTCATAAATTATTGAAACAATTTTCACCGATGTTATCGTACACTCATTAAAATGATTAGTCAAACTAAATATAGCTAACAACAATGATACCAACAATCAATTCGAAACTAACGATTTTAAATTGGCTCACTACTTGACTAGCCTATTGGTCCCAAGCAAATCGATTAACGAACCCCACTCTAGTCAAAATTCCAGTACTACACTATGTTTGTTTTGATTCACTATGAAAGTTTGACAGATAAAATTAGGGGTTAGTGGATTTTCCTATGTTTCGAGGGGTGAATCGATTAGCTTAGGGCCGAAGATAGTACCAGAGCTGAGCCAAAAAGTTGAGCAAGTTTATTTGGGACCTTCTGGTCCGATGATACTGTATTGAATAATCCTTGTTTGTTATTGTTCCATAA